AAATACCCTGAGGAATATCCGAGTGAACTACATGCAAAAGATGAGTAATCTTGAGGTGCAACGCTCAATTCAAAGAACAGATTAAAAGCGCTGTTTGTGTAGATACTTAATTGTAGGCCGCGTTCGATACATCAATATTCTAACAGGGCTCCGAGGCTTTCGGGTCAAAATTGCATTTTTTAAAAGTTTCTTTTGTCTCACAATTCCCAAAAGAAACTTGGAGACAGAGAAAACAACACAGACGTTTGTCCTGAAAGCCTCGAAGCCATGTCAGAAAATTGATATATTGAACGTGGCCTATAATTTATTCCATGAGCGCGTGTTGGATGTGATGTGAGATGGTAGACAGCCCACGAGGTACGTAGCGCCAAGTTGGTTGTAATCATCTCATATCTAACATTCGCGAGATAGAAAAAGACAAAGATAAAAACACCCCCAAATATTACACGTATGCTTATCATATTTGTAGAGCATGGTATAAATAAACAACAGCTTCCATTTGGCGCGGATATATTCTCGAATATTTGTCCGGGGACACTATCTGTTCCGAGAAGCGAACAGTTTTCCGAGGACGTAGCTCGAGGAAAACTGTGAATTTTGAGGAACAGATGATGTCCAAGGACAAATATCCGAGTATATTTCCGCGCTAAATGGAGGCTCTTGTGTTTATTATCCTTCAAATATTTTTCGCAACACGCGCTGTTTTGAAAATTGGGGAATATCACGCGGATATTCTCCAGTTTTAGATGAGGAATATTCAGTCACGTGACGCGTTTAAACCAATCACGCCTAAGCGAAAATATATGATGGATTATAATTGCTCGTACACCAAGATGGCTAAGCCAATGAAAACTCTCGAATTACATTATCCAACGGTTTAGTTTTTAATAAAGGGAAGATATAATGAGTAGAGTGTGGGAAAATCTACAGTACAGGTATGCACGTAAGGTTACAGTGTAGGTTTTTTATTAAGCATTATTATTTCAAACAGTGTAAATTACAAGCTGCTGTTCAAAAAAGTGAGCCTATACTCGCGGGCAGTAGAAATGGGTTAAGCTTGGGTTAAAAACAGTCCTATTTCTAACGAATCCACAAGCCCATTATTAGGGGCACAAAACGACTTTTAAAAGCAGTGTCAGATTTCAACAAGTAAGCATTTTTAACGCAGTTTTTTTGGAGTTGCTGGCAAATTTAAATCTGTTCCTTTTTCTCAGCAGAAACTTCACAATTGGCACTTCTCAGCAAATTACTTCGAAGGCATTGCTAGCAAGATTTGAATGCACATATAACAGGAATAATGGGCTCCTGCATCCACTTAACATCCTTGAGGGTGTAGTCCCAGAGTTAAATATACACCGTCCTTTGCCGGAGGGGGAGGAGTGAGAGGAAGAGGGACAACCTATAGGAGATACTAAGTTTCCGTTAAAAGGTAAGGTTACTCACAGCGAGTGTTTAAGGATTTTTCAAGCGAACAGAAAATAGGCTCGTGAACGGATATTTCAAGGAACAGATCTGTTGTGTGCCCCCTGTCCTCACATTACCGTAGAATTTTGCAAAGGTCCAACATCTTTGCAGAGGTTAATTTAAATTTCTAAGATAA